ATGAATTATTAATAGATATTATTTTATATAACTAGATACTAATTACTCAATCATTGTAATGGTTAATATACTATATTGTTACCTGAATGTAAGTATGAATTATTAATAGATATTATTTTATATAACTAGATACTAATTACTCAATCATTGTAATGGTTAATATACTATATTGTTACCTGAATGTAAGTATGAATTATTAATAGATATTATTTTATATAACTAGATACTAATTACTAACTAGTTTTTTATCCTATTGTCTGACTGCTAATCTGCTGTGCTTCCAGAGAAGTCCTGAGAAGGATTATTTTTGTTTTACTAGTGGCTTGGATTCAGTCCTGGTTCATTTTCTGTTCTACATCACTATTGTACATATCAAAAAGATGTACTATGAAAATGTACTGGTGTAAATTTTCATATCAATATTACTGCAATTTGGGATATATTTTCTACAGTTGTATGGGAGCATATTGTAGTACATACCAGAAGGATTTACACATTTTGATAATACAGTTAGAAAAAACTACCTTGACACTCTACATAATTGTAAGAGAACCTTTATTTTAACTAATGTTTTGCCCTTGCAAGTTGTTCAGGACTATTACATAAAACTGTTTGATATTAAAATATTCATTAAATTTAACAGATATTGTAATATCAAACAGTTTTATGTACTAGCCCTGAAGAAACTGCAAAGGTAAAAGTTCTCTTATAATTATCTGGAGTTTTTTCTAACTTTATTTTCAAAATAGCTATGTATTAGAGAAATTCCAAGGTAAGGATTAAATTTAGTAAATCTCAAAGAATAGTAAGGATAAACTTACTCAATCCCAAAGTAAAGTAAGGATAAACTTGGTTAATCCTAAATTACAATAAGGATAAAGTTAGTCAATCCAATGTACTTAACAGATTGACCATGTGGAATACCCATCCTGGCAAGCACAAATTAGAGGTCAAAAGTTGTGGACAATAGAACCTGTGCCAGAATGTTACAGCAAGTGTAGCACGCTTCAAGTTACAGTCAAACCAGGAGAAATTTGTAAGTGCCTCACCACTGTTTTAAGTTTAACAGAAGAATTAGATAAATGTTGAAAGATATATAGACAGTAGTATCAACTGACATTTTAGGTGTGTGTGAAGATATACAGACAGTAGTATCAACTGACATTTTAGGTGTATGTGTGTTTGAAGAGTTACTACCAGATTTGGGGTTATCTAAAAATGAGTATTAGGTTACCTCACTTCTGAAAACTGGTTCTTTAATGCCCAGTCCTCATTAAGGGGAGAAAATTTAGCTATTGTAAAGTAGATGGAAGATAGACAATTGTGAGACGTGCTTTTGTTGCAGTCTTTAAGTTGATGAACAACAAGAAAAACTTGTTGTATTTGGGGACTTGATGATAAGGTGCAGATATGTAAACTTAACCTTTATTGAACTTTTCCTTTATAATTATCATCATATCTCTAACTTATTGTACTTTTATTTACAGGATTTACCTCCATTTTATCAATCCCACAATCCTAGGTCTCCATTCTACTGCTGATAGTTCAACTTTTGTAGGATTATTTTATGTTATTTTTTTCTATTTATAATGTTCTCTCAGTCTCTACTGTGCCTTCTGTTGTAATTTTTCACTTACATATCATGACTGCTATGTTTCTTTTCTTGAATGGTGGTTTTCATAAGAACAATTTGACTTCTGTTTTAATTTTTCACCTACCTACACTTACAGTTAGGAATACTGGGACTTTAGATTTAGTTTTTCATGTATGAAACTAGAAATTTTTCTTTCTTTTTAATCTTAGCATCCAAAAATAATTTTTGTATTTCAGTGATAGTTGTTTTAAACTTAAAACAAATCAGCAAAATATGAAAGAACCAAAACCTTGAAATATCCAACATTTTCAACAATGTTTAGCCTGAATTCTGTTATACACATTAACATGTGTGTATATAAAGACTATATAAGACTTGTTTAATAAGCTAGAAGTCACAATTGCTACTTGTCAAACATAAGTAGTGCATTAATGCCTTATGTGCTTATAGTAATTAACTGACTATATAAGACTTGTTTAACAAGCTAGAAGTCACAATTTCTACTTGTCAAACATAAGTAGTGAGTTAATGTCTTATACACTTATAGTAATTAACTGACTATATAAGACTTGTTTAATAAGCTAGAAGTCACAATTGTTACTTGTCAAACATAAGTAGTGAGTTAATGCCTTATGTGCTTATAGTAATTAATTGACTATATAAGACTTGTTTAACAAGCTAGAAGTCACAATTGCTACTTGTCAAACATAAGTAGTGAGTTAATGTCTTATACACTTATAGTAATTAATTGACTATATAAGACTTGTTTAATAAGCTAGAAGTCACAATTGCTACTTGTCAAACATAAGTAGTGAGTTAATGTCTTATACACTAATAGTAATTAATTGACTATATAAGACTTGTTTAACAAGCTAGAAGTCACAATTTCTACATGTCAAACATAAGTTTGTGTGACTTTTAGTTTAACAGTGTAATTTAGTACTAAAAGGTATTTTTGTAAATATAGTTTCAAAATATTTCACTTATGTCTACATAAGTGTTTTGTATGTGGATTATGCTTGACATATTTGATTTTGTTTTTTTACATTTCAGTGGTTTTAGATACCAACAGATGGTACCACAAGACAGTGGTTGTGGGGAAAGAGATTAGCATCACTATTGGATCAGAATATGATTGATACTTTTGACCTGTCGTGTTGTGCCTTATAACGTAGAATGATAATTATCTTTCACTCCAATTATAGAAATTCATTAGAGTGTGCTAGTTTACATATGCAAATATATATTAGGGTAAAGAAATATTACAGTGTGCAAGTTTACACATGCAAATATATATTGGAGAAAAGAAGTATTACAGTATACTAGTTTACATGTGCAAATATATATATTAGGGTAAAGAAATATTACAGTGTGCTAGTTTACACATGCAGGTACATCTTGGAGTAAAGAAATATTACAGTGTGCTAGTTTACACATGCAGGTACATCTTGGAGTAAAGAAATATTACAGTATACTAGTTTACATGTGTAGGTACATCTTGGAGTAAAGAAATATTACAGTATACTAGTTTACATGTGTAAATACACGTTGGAGTA